CATATTTGTGGCTTACATTTGAAAGTGATTTCACAAGCCAGATGCAGTGAAGCTCTCACAACCCTGTCAGTGCAGAAGGTCGATATTTATGGTGAGCTGGTTAAGTTGCTGTCTCCATCTGCACTTTTGTAGTAAGAGCAGTTTGGATAAAATAACATGTGAAGCTTTTCTGAATTTAGAAAATACTTTATAATTAAACATAAGTACATGAACCATAATCTGCAGATATCTGTATCTGTCAGGAGAGGAAATAGAAATATTGTAAGTCTATTCTGACAATTCTTCCAACCCCCCAGATAAAATACACTAGAAAGTAAGGTGGAGGAAAAGAGAGTATATTCCCAGAAATTTTTCTGTACTGCAGCAGAGTGCTTTGTCAAAAAGGAAGAGGTGAAAGCCCCAAGTGACAGGGCTAACATCCTATAGTATCATTCAGAAACAAAAAGCAGTAACTGGAACACTGCTTGCTGTAAGAAGAAATATTAGATAACAAATAAACTATACAGTTATTACATTACAAAATCAACAGCAATCATAGATGTTTGGACCTCCAAGCGTTTAAAATACTTTCTTTTGATTCTGATACTGCCTTTAGACATATGACTAAGGAGCTTGGTGTAAATGTTTTCAGTTAAGGTGTTTTTTCTTCCATTGTGTAAACATAGTGGCAGTGAGTATGGGTGGATAAGCTTAACTCATTTTCACTAGGTGCAACTAAGCTGACTTAGTATATATGGAGGAGTCTGGCAATAAGCAAGGAAAGGCCCAGGTCCACTGATCTTTCACAAGTGCCTGAGACATTATACTACAGTGTAATGTCACTATCTCTGGGGAATATCTGGGGACTGTGACTGCAAAGCACTTACAGCTGAAAGAAAGCAAGAAGGCACTGGAAAAAAATTCACTTGGCTAACTGCTTATATGTGGTATCTAACTTAGTGTGAATTGTACCAAAGTACAGCTACCTCTACAATAAGCGGGAGCACCATTCTTCTTGTGAAATTGTTTTATTGATCAGCACTTTGTCTTGTTAAACTGCAGCATTTTTTAATAAAGCACTCAGGTGTCCTGGAATGGCATTAGCAATTCTCTAAATGAGCAAATGGGTTTGACTTTACTGGACAGTCCCATCCTATGTAGCAAACAGGAAATGGCCCAAGGCTTCTTCATTTGTACTGAAACAAAACCTAATAACCTGTTAGATGGCTTCTGTGACTATTTATGACTTCCTGAAGATAAAATTAAGCTTCATCTTTCAAGGTAAAAGTATTACCCACAAAAATCTGCCAAAGGTGTCAGGGTTCTCAAGTGGGACCCCACCACTGTCCATGGGCTCAGAAGCCCTATTTCAGCTCAGCGCAGGGTCTTCAGTCCCTGCTCTAGCAATGCCATAAAAGCACCAGTCTCCATCTCTGCCATGGCTCATGTGGCACCCTGACAGGAGGTCCCAATAGAAGAAAGGTTCCTAAGTATACGGATAATTTAAGAAGCAAAGGGAACATAGCACAGGCTAAAAGTCACCCATCCACAAAGCTAAAGTCCTAGTTTCTCTGAGCATAAGCTAAAAAAGAGTTGTCTTAGACAATGAGGAAAAAAAATAGCTTGAAGAATGTGTAGGCTCATACTGCAGTGTACCTGTGGAAATGAATATTCTCCCTGGTGCAAACATTCTAGGAGATTTTCTTATATTTAAATCAGAACTTGTAATTTTATTGGAGTAATGTTAATTTATACCAGGAAAAAATCAGTCCTTTTATAACTGTTACAGAGAGAAAATAGTTCACAATATTCAAAAGTATACAGAAAGTACTAGGTACTTCCTTGATTCTCTAGCACGTGTAAAATGCTCACTAGAGAGAAGCAGTTAGTGATGGATCCAGCCTTACATTTAGAGTCAGAAAACCCTTTTAAAAAACCCACATAAAATGAAAGCATTTATAGGAAACAGACATACTAATGTACTCTGTGTTTATATGAAAAGGAAATAAATGCAAGCAGAACAGTTAGGTCACTGCTAATTTAATTGATTTGCTTACAATAGTAATTAATTTCTTTCCTTGGAATAAAGTCCAGTGTCTCTTAGCTGCTTCTTGCATCATCCAAACTTTATTTGGCCTCACTATACCAGGTCAAATACCTTCCCAGCTAGGCTTGCATCAGAGTTATTTATATCTGACCTATCAAATAGCTGCTTCCAATCCTTGTCATGACTAATATGCTCAAAAAGACAGCCACCCAAAGCATCCCTTCTCTCACTGATTCTAGCAGGAACAAAAAGCACTTGAATTAATATACCTCCTACGTTTTTCTGAAACTTGGCCTCAGCCTATTCTTGTTGCTTGTTGAGAATTTCCAAATTGGAGAACATCCTTCAGGCCTTATTAACACCAATAAATGCAAAAAGGAAAAAGGTCTATAAAGTAAAATCATCCTTAAACAATGTATTGTGTATGACTTCAGATTATTTTTTTGTTGTTGTTGTTTTAAATTTTCTGTCCTTTTCTACTGTGTTTGCACACCCACTTGCCAGCAAATCCAGATGGTTCTGCCCTGTGTATACTTTGTAGTAGCATGGGTAAATAGGTGAAATGAAACGAATACCCTTGGTTTATTAACATTTCAAGAGTGTGAATTCAAGCGAGTATCAATGATGAGCAATTTTTATTAATATAAAATAGCTTTGTCAATGGGGGAAGGAAAGTAAAAGAGCTTTGGAAGTTATTAATTACTTGATGTACCTACACAATGGACTTTCAAAAGAAACTGTTTAGACAAACTGCTAGACAAACTGTGTTAGCCTCAAACTCAGCTCAGGGTTTCTACTAGCCTCCTTGATAAGCTGTTTTCCCTCCTTCCATTGTGATCTAGCTTGGAGGTTCATTTTGCTTTTCAGTTTCTTCCAAGGCATTGAATTTGGTCCTAGTTGAGGGGGGGGTGGGGGGGGGGAAGGATGGAGATTCATGCAGCATTATGTATTTCCCAACATTTGTCCTGCTCTTTACCTTCCACTGACATCCTCAGCACAAAATTGAGTTAAATTGGCAGGGGAACTGTGAAAGCAGTTCAAGGGTTCTTGAACTGGGTGATTATTGGACATTCTGGCATTTTTTTTGTACTGTACTGTGCATAGCCCAGCTTGTAGGATTGTACAGATGAGGAATTTAACAAATACTCATGCAGGAAATAGACATATGCTTTATGGCTTCTGCTTTCTTCCTCTGGCACATTTAGATTACAATTTTAGGTCTTCACTGTACTACTTCAGTTAGTGGAATAGATGGGGAAATGTTTTATGGCATAGCAGAAGATGTGTGAAGCATCTGTGGAACTTCCTGTGCAGTTGTACAGTTAGCATACTTTTCCCTGTGGCCACAGAAAATTGATGAGATAATCCAAGGCAACTCCCCCCCAGTCCTCGGTTCCTGCCAGAAGGCCAACTTGCAGCACTATCTTGGTTTTCAGGAAATGGCCAGTAACTCCTCCTTGGAAAGTCTAAGATCCATTAACAATTTTATCAAGGCTTCAGAAAAGCAGAACTTCTCAGAAGCCAGAAATTATGGGGTTTGATCTGACAAGCTCATTGTGACAGCTCAGATGCCAGATCAGATTATACAAAGTAGTATTTTATAGAAGACCACATCAGAACAGAAGCTGAGCACATTTCAACTTTGCATCTTCTATGTCTTTGCAAGTAAGACTAAGCAGATCTGAACAATTCAGGAATCCAGCCTCTGAGGGAAGTAACATGAAGGCTTTAAAGGAAATAAAAAAATCTACTTTGCCAGTGTAAAAGGTTCTCCTCCACAATACAGTAGCTCTTTTTTTGCCTGGAGCGATGGTTATTTAGTTCAGACCACCCACCCTCATCACAAGACCTAAGGAATTACAAATTTAGAAGAGCAATCACATAGGAAGGATGATACAGACCAAAGCCTCCTGGCACTAGTGACACATTTTTCAGCAGACTAACCCAGTAAATCAACTATAAAACATGACAAGCAAAAATAACGTTAGTGCAATAGCTGCTTTAAGAATCTGTTTCTGCTTTCTACAAATTACTTACTTGAGAAGTCCTGCAAGATGACAACTTTTCATTCAGGAAAATACCTTTCATGTTCTAATCATGGTATTTGAAGCTAGTCTACACAGAAAATGTCTAATTCCCCATTTCACCTCAACTTCCCCTATGCTAATGACTGACAGATTTTTCCAGTGAAAGTTTTGGCCTAAATTCTCCTTAAATCCCATAAGAAACACATGGCCAAGCAGAACCTTGAACTTGCTTTCTAGACTGCAAAGCTCTATAGCCACAGAATCACCATTCTTCTTGGATCATGAATGCCCTGGAAATTCGATTCAGGCTTATACAGAGAGAACAAGAAGTCAAAGGCAATTAAGCATTATCTTTAAAAAAAACAGTTCTTTTCCATTCTACATCTCAGTTCCTCAGTGCAGGAATAATATGGGAGACTGCAGCTCAGTCTCTCCTTAATGCACAATAATACAAGTGTTTAACTGGAAACAGAGAATAATGACTGTGTTCCTAAAACACATTGAAGGAATGGAATTAGTTGGCATTAACTCCCTAGAAATTTTAAGGATAAAGATAATTTTTAAATCATCTATAACTTACACGTTCTGTTTAGAAGATATGGATCAATGTGGTTATCTAATGAAGAACAGTCTACAAACTGTGTCAGGACTTCACCCAAAGACTTCAGTGAAAGCTGCTGAACTATGCCATTAAATTCACTAGGACCGAAGTATTATCTTCTTGTCTGCAATTACTTAAAATTAATGTAGACCCCAGGGTCTACACCTGCTTGGAGTTTGCCCTTAGAACCTCAGGAAGCAAGCTTCAGAAGTCAACTGAATTAAGACAGTAGAACTGATCTGCCCCGGATCCTGTACTTCTGCAACTGTACTGCAGTCTGTTTCATTACAGCAGAAAACAAAACTTTGTTTTGGTGAGGCTATGTACTGAATCACAAAGACACAGCAATTTAAAGGGGTTTTTATTGTATTGCACAAGATATCTATGCAATCCATGTAGATACTGTATTAAAGGATCCACATTTCCCAAAACATTGGCTGTTGCAGCACACATCACAAGCATTGTGAATAACCAGTGCCTTCTTCAGAAATTAAAATAATTGGTTGCAAGTTTAAGCATGTTGTGGGAATAAATGAAGAAAAAGAAGCAAGGAGTATCAATACATATTTCTTTCCAAACACACAAATATACAGTTTTCAGAAAAACACCAATAATGCCAAGCAACTATTTTGATGAGATACTGTATGTGTAGGCTCTGCAGCAAAAAGCCAATATGCACACAGAAAATATATTTCAACTTTCAAAATAATTTAACCATATCATCTTGCATGTGTCACCTGTTTACAACATATCATTTCATATACAATGTCAGGCCCAAGCCTCAACTTATGTAAGTTTGTGCATACTCATTTAAGCAGCTGAGACTTTGGACCAGATGTTCAAGCTGAAAAAGCCTTCAAATTGCTCACATCTGAATACAGAGTGGTAGTATAAGACCGAGAGAATAGCTACAGTGAAGGTATAACAGAAACGGTACTACGGAAAATGAAGAAAAAACACGATCAAACCCTCAAACACAAGGTTCTAGAAAGAGGCCTACATGTAAAGTGATGTTGTAATAATTTATAAAGTGAATAATTAATATCAGTCTCCTTTCTGACACTTAAGAGATTCTCATATATTCAGAAGCCTGTAGAAGTGAACTAACCAAATGTCACTATCAGTATTATCCTCAAACTCTGTTTCTTAATTTTCTGATAATTAATACTGGTACTTAAAAACATTTTACATTTGCTGAAAACAGTTATTAAAATTTACCTTCCTGCTATGAGAATTTAGTGTAATAAAAATCATGAAAAACAATAGGTAAAAAAATAGTATTTTAAGAATATTTTTAGAAAACCCGTCAAACAACTGCAAATACAGCTGATTTTTTAAATGTCTGCTTTTGAACTATTTTTTGTTTGGTTGGTTTTAAGTGAATCACTTGTACAGAAGCAAGAGAGTACCAGTTCTAAGATTTATTCTTGTCCATTACATTGAGGACCTCATCCAAAAGTGAAGGTCCCAAGTCAAGTTGTAATGAGAGAAGAGAGCCTGCAAGATCTGAAAGGGACTCTTCTGACTTAGTCTTTGTCTTGGTTAGTTCACATGAAAGTCGGCTGTCATCAAATAAATCAACTGTTTGCCAATCAGTGCATTGTTCAGAACAGCTGGATGAGTGACTGTCTCTACCATTAGTAAAATGCGAAGAACCACCATTTTGCTCCCATATGTCATCTTTGTATGTTTCTCCATCCTCCATCTGTTTACTTTTCTCCTGCAATTTTTCTTCTATTACTGGCTCACAACTAAGCCTAGGATTTCTTGATGACCTAATGGATTCTTGCTTTGAATTAAATGTCACCGGTGACAATAAGGGCAATGTAAGGGCTTGGGAACCCCCAATGGCAGGAAGGGAAATAGCATTTTTGAGCACTGGTGATGGAGTTTCTGTAAACATGGATTCAGAAGTGCTGTTTGCCCTTAAGAATTCATTGTGGCCACCAGACTGGCTAAGTCTGGTTTCTCCTTCATTTCCAGGCAATAGCTCATAGTTGCCCTGCAAAAAGGAGATGTCTCCAAAAACATCATGTTGTCCCTCTTTTCCAATGTGTATAGTGTGACGAAAATCTCCAAGTGGTGGACTGATCATATCAGGAGACAAGATATCCCTTAGTTTGAATTTCTTCCCTTTCTTATTGTTAGCAGCTTTCAAGTAGATGGGAGTCTTGGCTGGCATCTTGCTTGTAGCTTCTGTGAGAGGAAGTTGTTAAAAAAAAAAAAAAAAAAAAATAGAGTAAAGAGAGGGGATGGAGAAGCCTCTTACGAAGTCAGTTATTCTCAGGAGACCTTCAGACCTTCAGCGTTATCAAGGTTACATCATCGTCTTGATCCACTTGTGCACACGAAGCCCCTTTCTTCTGATGCAAAGAATTGTGGGGTACGTGAAGGTTAATGTCTCTCAAGGCAGATCTTTCAATGTAGACCACAAGTTTCAGGCCAGCTAGCAACCAAACACCCTGCTACTTCCAGAACTTGAGAAAACCTGCATGGGATACAAAATCAGGTTATCATTCATTTATTTTTCATGGTTCATTCAGTCTCATTTTTACAATGAAAGAAAAAATTGGTAATGGTAGTGACAGTTCCAGCCTGCAGATTAGCTTTATGATGTTGCTTCCCTTCATTAGGCAGGATAAAAGAATTCAGATTAAAAAGAGCTAGCTAACCTTTCTCTGACTTCATAGCTGTTTTTGAAGTCAGAGTTTCTTAGACACGGTTGCTGAGCACAATTCATTTGATAAACATTACTATCTCAAATGTTTCTTCTCCTTATTGTATGAATCGAAATGCCGACCTTAAGAGAGCACATGTAGAGACCTATTTATAACATTCAATAAAATTAAGCTTTTGGTAGACCCAGGAAGATTGACAGAGACATTCTGGAAACTGCTTTGGAAATGGAGCAGACCATCTTGATTGGAAAACTTCAGATACCTCCATTTAGTGCTGGAACTGTCACAAATGGTCACCAATAGTATTTCTGATAATTATGCCCATTTAAAAGGATAGTTTTAGGTACTTGAAAAAGTGCTAGTCCAGGTCTTTATGTCTAGTTAGAAACATCCAAATGTAGATGTCTTAGAAGAAACTGATTGTTACTACAATCCTTACTACAAGAACTCCCCAAAGCAACTGGTTACAGACTAGCTCATAAATTATGTAGACTACGAGGCTATGGTGACTCAGACTTGCTCTGTGCAACTGAATGAAACTGTGTTTGCAAACCAAATAGTCCTATTAGAACATGGTCTCTGAAAAGCCTGATAATGCGGTCCACAGGGGCTAACAGCCTACTGGGTCAACAAGTTATGGAAAAAACACTCTTTATTAATGCTTTCATGGAGTATTTCTTTCTTACAGTACCAGCTCCTGACTCTCAAGCAATCTCTGAGTAAATGCTTCTTTCTCCTGGACATTGTTGTAGCTTCCCCTATTAAGTCCATGGACCACTAGGACCACAAGTCACTCCTCCTCATCTGAATACTCAGCCACAAATCCCTCACACTCTATTCATTGCCATCCTCACTCTGTAAAGGAGCTTGCAGTTTTTGCAAAAGAAAGAGTGCTGTATGCAGTAAGTGAAGGGAAGCTATCTAAAGCAAGGGCTATTTTTGCTGCCTTTTATCCATGTCCCAGCAGATATTTCCCTTCATCAAATTAAGCCCAGAAGACTCACCAGTTTTAAAAATTTCTACTTTATGGCCATACAGCCAGATTGTCAAGAAGCATATAAGCATTTTCACAAACCCTTTAACCCGAGTAATTAGTTCCTGCAGTAGGGTACTTAACTGTCCATCACAAGGGCGCTGGCAATCTAGCCAGGTTAGTATTTTGGTTTTTTGATTCCCATCGTATATCCAGTGCACTTCTGATATCACTGAAAACCCCTCCCCGCAAAAAATACAGATACAAACAGACAAAAGCTATTACATACAAAATAACCTCTACATTCAAGAAGTTATGAGAACATTTTATACATTTAAGCTCAATTTTGAAAATACAGTTGGTTGCATCAATCAGTAAAAAGCACTTCAAAGCTTCCTCCTACACATCAAAATAGTAATCCATTAGGATCTACAGAATACAAGGAGATCTACACTACACACCAAAACTCAACCAATTTAACTCCACCTCAGTACTGTAAGATACTAATGTCAGTCATAAATAAGTCCTCTACTTGTGCCACCTGTCATGGCAACAGAACTAATTAGTAAACTCAGTTACCTTTCAGTTTTAAACTGAGAAATTAATTGCATTTTTTTCTCCCTGATTCTCATTCCAAGCTACCATTCAGCTAAATGAAGTATCTTCAGCTCTAACAAACAAAGCTGAACTGTGAGGTTGTCTTATGTTTATCTGCTAAACTCATGTCTATCTCACTTCCCAGGAATAAAGCTGAACTCCCTCCAATTCTAATTCCTCATTTTTTCAAATCTTTTAATCTGTAGTGAATGGCAATGTAATGTCAATGTGGTCCAAAGTCATGGCTGTTGGTCACTAGTTTAAACCAGAAAAAAAAATATCCTAGTTTATTCAAAGCTTTCATGGCTTCCACCAGTTTGGGTATGTATCAAAAATCATTATCACCAAACTCCACAAGGAGATTTCAAAGAAACCTGAAGGACAGACATAATGAAACATCTGAACATCAAAAAATAATAAAGTGTAAATTAACATAATCTGGATCAGCACATAAAAGCAGCACTGTATTTAACTCATAGCTCGGGGTATGTGGGAAGAATGCAAAAACCCCAAATAGAGCAAACTTCTGGGCATCCAGACCTCCTCTGGTTCTTGCACTATGAGACAGCCCCAGTAAGGGGCACTGTAAAACCACACTACTTAGAGGATGCTGCAAGAGACTGATGTCAAGAATTATAATCCCTCCCTGTACAGCAGTCCCTGCGATTGTGAAGGCCTTGCCTTCCATTTGGTAAGTGCAAGAAGCTTTACATTTGAAGAGAACTTTCAAAATTACATGCTTACTGCAAGCATGGTTTTCTCTGCTGAAAACAATGTGTTTTCTTTAGCCACTCTACTGAAAATCTGCAAATTGTACCTTGTAAATAAGAGATAAAGGTTCCCTACTCAATGGGCAGGTGTTCCATGTACAGCATAACATAGGCTTCAGAGCAACTGTACTTTGTTTCTGCATAACTATCCTCCTTGTCAACTACTGCCCAAAGGAGTACAGATTTTAAGCTACTTTGAACAGCTGAAATGTATCACAAGTATGGAAATATTCACTTAGCCTAAAATACTGTTGTTACGCATGTTTCATTTACAATTAAGGAAGAATCTATATTAATAGGTAACATGGGGTTTTAAAAAAGTTCTTTCAGTAAGAAGAAAAAATAAATAAATCAATAAATCCAACTTTGGCAAATGAAGAAAGGCTTAATGAGACTAAGCCTCCAGTTCAGCTCTTGAAAAGCTAAAAATTTAATCCACAAAACTTTCACAAAAACCTTGCACACTCCCTGCATTCAGGAAGATTTAATGAAATCACCAATACACATGGGCTAAGAGAACAGACAGAACATACTCCACTCTTGATACCAGGCCACACAATAAAGTTCACCTTGTCTTAAAATGAGACCTTTTTCTGACCTTGCTGCTTAAAAAAAAATAAAAAAAAAAAAAATAAAAAAAAAAAATCTGTTTTGACTAATTTCAACTAGGTAAATGCATAGCCAAACTGGAAGGCTAAACAAGAAAACATCAGAAAACCGATGTCCACACGGCTAGCCTGCCAGCCTAAGACCTTAATTTAAGAGAAAAACAACCTGAAAGGATACTTCTTCCAGTTGAAGAGGTCCTTCCTTACAAGATCCAAGCCTGAGCCAAGCCAGAGAAACTTCAACCCAGTGAAAATTCATCTGCTGTAACATTTGTTCATTTTCATTCCTATCACTTCACACCCTCATATAAAAGTGTTTTGATTGGTAGCAAAGACTAATATTTTCAGAGGCATTTCTCAATCCGTTTTGTGGACCTTCTGTCCACTCAGCAATCATCACCTTCCACACAGCTCAAAGTTTTCCATGGATTCCTTAGTTTATTCCACAGTCTGTTTTAAAATGACAGATTATCAGCAGGTATCCCAACAACTGAGCTTACAAAGCCAAAGAAAAAAAAAGGGTCAAGGTGCAAAATTTTATTTGTGAACAAATCCCAAGAGACCTGGATCCCTAAGCAGTGTCCTAGGCAAAGAAACAAAAGAAAGAGGAGTCTATCTCCACGAGGTAGAACCAGAAGCAAACATATGCTTTGGGAAGCCTATGGGCTTTCTACTAGACAACCTCTTGTAAGGACTCTGCTTCACACATCACTGGCTAGAAGCATGTGAACTTCAGAGAAGCTCGTTTCCGAAGCATTGTTAAAAATAACATTGAATTATCTTGCGGAGCAAGTCAAACAGTCTGTATAGGAAAAAACAGTCTGTACATGTAAATATCCAAATAAGAATACAGTTAATACAGCAGAAGACAAATATAAGCTATACAATAGGCTGCTTATTTCCTACAAAATGAAATACCTGCAAGCATAGAAGAATTAGGCTTTAGGAAATCATTCAACATTTGAGCTATCAGTAGCTTTCAGCAGCACAATCAAATTATTGAGAACATCCTTGTCAATGCTGTTACTTCCATTATGCCTGAAACAGCAGCAATGCAAATCATTATCATTGATTTTGTAACAGAGGCCTGAACTCAGGCTGTCACAATTCCTGAATGCTGATAAATCAAACTCCCAGTATAACCAAGTCTTCAGGTACAAGAACAGCAGCAGGTGATGCACCATACAGCTTACCTCTCATGTTCCTGTGGGCTCAGGTGTTTGTATCAACTGACAGCCTCTGAAGATGAGAGAGGCCACAAGTGTACCTGCTTCTAGACCAGGACATCACTGAACCTCTGCTTATAGAGCCACCACCTTCTGAGTAGCTTTAACCAAATCAGGTGGTAACACTTCTCCAGATTGCTCATCTGAATTCACCTTGTTTATAAGAGGACCAGCCTTTGAATTCATCTGTATTAAAGTCAACTTCCCTGATCAGATTAGAAGTCCTTGCCCCTTTGTTTCTCCCTCCATCAAAGAACTTGCACCTTTCTGATTAAAGCTAGAGATTTAATTACTTTATAAAAACCAATCAGGCTAATCACAATTCAGTTCAACTAATTTTCCTCACACTGCACTCAACCTACTTTCCTAGATCAAACCTAATCTCTTTTATCCCACTGTCATATATACTTTTCAGAAAGTGAAGGGAAAAAAAAAAAAATAAATCCCCAATTCTTCCCACAGCTACAAAAACATGGGTCAGGAGAGGACCCTATGATGCAGTTCATTCA